GTCTTTACATTTATTCACAGTATCTAACTGGTCGGTATGTCAACCACACCACAGTATGATGACCAGGTGTGTGGTTGCTTTAATGAAGCGTTCAAATGGCTTCTGAACAATACGCATGTATTTCAAAATTACACATTTATGCCATTATTATAACATCCTGGGTATCCAAGTGAAGACACTCCAGTGCCGAAGTGTTCATTTTTTTCGGGATCACGTCCCGAGCTGATATTATGTATAGGCACAGTCGTCACTTTACTGAAGTATCCACTTCGAACGGGTATCAGCGACTTCATAGCGCAGATATGGTATACTTCTGGATCTTCTCTTGATATTTTCCCGATATGTTGTGGGTTATTGGGTATTGATTAGATATCGATAAGGAAAACCTTGCTGTTGGTTTCTATCAATGTTACGTTATATCTTGTCTTATTGCGCCGACATGTCTGTCAGTGATAATGGAACGATCCCAGTAGAGTGTGTGTGCTCACTACTTTCAAGCACATTCTGCAGGCACATATTTTATAATACGGCACGATATGGGGAGTAAAGCCCGTTCTCAGACGCCAGTCAATTGGTTTTTGCTACCTGCTTCGCCACTTATTCATGCCTCTGTTTTCACCTGTGCGTGGCTTCGCCTACAGTCCACATTTGTTACGTGTGTGTCGCATAGTCTCCTCCGCTTGTGCTCACATACCCATCTCGCACATCCACTTGCGTACAGCGAAGATCTCGGGTAAGCGTGAAGCATCTGTAGAATCTCTCTCAGATGTGTTTTCTGTGTCGTTCAATTAGTTCGGTACCACGTTGGTCCTGGATCGCCTATCATGAAGGCTCTCTGTCCTCCCCGGAAAAGAAGATCCCTCCGTGTTGAGCCATGCGTGCGACGCAAGGGATAGTCGACTTCTGGTTTATCACTCGTGAGGGTAGCCTTCCATGCAGTGGCCTTTGCTTCCATAAGGCTTATTTTGCTCTTCCGTTTCAATGATTGGTTGAAACAGGCGGATCAAGCCTGTTCTTCAAGTTCAGAGGACTATAGTTATAACTGCCACAGCTCACTGCCTGCTCTAACTCTCCCACAATGTTTCCAGAAGTATCTTCTGAGTTGAAGCAATTTGAGAGCTGTGCTAGATTTTATGAAGGATCTACAATACCTCGCCCTGCCTTGCGACTTTGAAGGGTACAAAACGCTCGTATTTTGAATGGGGATGATGTTTTCGTGTTTGGACGTCCATAGCCCGGTTCGGAATTGTTCTTTGGGAGGTTGTTCGAGGGTCCCGGTATTGCTCCATTTAATAAACGCCAAAGAGGTATGTCAGCACGGAATAACAAATGAATTATGGCCTGCCACAAGGTTTATAGCAGAGAGTCGAGTTTTTAAGAGGCCCATTGCGCAATCGTTGTACACACTTATTTGTTAGTATATTCTTAGTTAAACAGTGTGTTTGATTCGGCAGTACTGTTGGAAACCCAAGTATTTTGTAAGTTCATTGGGGTTTCCATGAAAGGTAAATCTTTCGGTTTTTCATTATTACAGGTTTCCAAAAAATTTTAATTAAACGTTGCATTGAACGCGATGAATGATATTCACTTTCTCCTGAGCACATTTCCAAACCGAATTTTCTCTTAATGTCGACAGTGAACTTGTCCGTCACGTTTACTTAGTTGGCCGCATGATGCTCTGCGTGGTCTGCATAGAGCTTTCAGTCATCCATGTAAAAGGAGATGTGGAGACACGAAGAAGAGTTGAGTCCCCTTTTTAAGCAGCGATCCATAATTAGATGAATTAAAGGTAGATAGTAGAGAGAGGATTCAAGGTAAAGAACAATAAAGGGCTAGAGTCACCCTGGAAAAATCCTCGGGCGGATTGTGGTATAAGTATCTGTGTGGACGGATTTGTTTTCCCATTTAAAGAGGATACGTTTTTGTATTCCATCACTCATCGCAGTTTTCAGGAAGTTTTGGATAAACGGGTGGACCCATGTATAACAATCACAAACATTGAAGTAGCAGAATGGGGCACGGTTGTCGAATTGTTTTAGCGTAATTATGGTAGCATGCGTACAAGTTTCTTTGTTTTTCAAGCACTGTGCCCATAATTACAGAGTCTATAATGAGTTGCTCCTTGCATCCCTGAGGATCCAGGTCTGCATCCTTTCTGTTCATATAATAATAATAATAATAATAATAATAAAGCATTGTAATGGGCCGGCAGAAATCTGAAATATTTATCGACACAATAGGCAACACTATTGAGCCCTGATAATGAAAAAGTGGATAAATCTTGTTCCAATATGTAGTAAATTACTTCCTCTAACAAGTAGTCAGAATCCGTGCTTTGAGAGTCCTTTCCAAAGACAATGTTTAATCAAAAAATTTGGAGCCATTTTGAGAAAAAAAATTGAAAATGTTTAGGCTTCATGCAAAGTATCCCCAAAAATCAAAATATCTATTTCAATCTCACAGGGCCTAAGGCTTGTTCACATCAACTGAGGAAAATCTATTTTGGAGAAAATAGTATGAATGGCTTAGGAGCTAGCATTGACCTCAGAGAGACGGATAGACTGTCAGAGATACAGATGTCAGACATGTTTTGCAGTCAACCAATTTGTCAATCAAATTTGTCAGAACCAAGGACCAACAAAACATTGCATTTTGTGATCTTTTGAATACACATGTTAGAGGAAGTAATGTACTAAAATAGGAACAAGATTTATCCACTTTCTCAATACCTAAGCCCCACAATAGATTTTCTTTCAAAAAATCGCCGATTTCTGTCGCAGCATTCCTTTCCTTTCTCTTGACTACATACAAATAAAAGGCGAGGAAGTAAAAAGTAATGTATAAAACACATTTTTTAAATTTTTTACAACAAAGAAAATCCCTATATAAGCAGTGCTTGATTTATACAATTTTGGGTTCAGGAACGCACCTGTAATTAATTATTAATTTAATAGAAATAGTTAATGGAAAATTATTTAATTTTTTAGAGTATGTATGTTAAAAAAGTTAAAAGTCAAGCTAAAGAGTGCTTGCCTGCTCTTTTCCTTTTCCCCTTATTTTGTTCCCAAGGTACCAAAACACCATTCTGTCCTGTTCTGTCAGAAATCAAGTCTTGGCTATAAGTAATACGAATTTGTATAATTATTCTCACGAGTCATAATTGCACCACTTGTTGTTTTTTTTACAGTTACACCAAATTATGATATAAATACAGACAAGAATAATACGTATGGGTACTGCAGGCCAGGTGGTTTACTCAGCATTGCAATGCTTAAACATATGTGGTTAGAAACCATTGACTGTGAGCAGGGGACAGAATTGGCCCATCCTACCACACTGTTTTGTGAAGCACTAAGGCTAAATTTTGTGAGCAACCAATATTGGAAGTCACGAGCTACCACTGACATTAAGGTAACAGTTTTGGTCAATTACAAATAAACAGCTTTAGAATATAATAAATTACAAAATATAGAAAGAAAGGAGGATCTGGATCATAAGACTAATAATAACAGTAACATAAATGATAATGCTAATACACACAACGAAAAATAAGCTGTGTGATGCAGACCTGTTCATTTTCTGCCTGGGATATTCCAAGCAGCTCCCATGCTTCACTATTTTCAAAGTCATTAGTAACAGCTGCTTCAAAACAAAGAACTGCACTTGCTAAGTCACCTTCTTCTAGTCTTTTCTTTCCTTCTTCAAGGGCATTTGAATGTTCCTTCATTGGATTATTTTCCTCAAATGGATAGTCCTATACAAATGAAGTCAAAATACAGGGCACATAAAAATCATAAAAATGTCATTTTTAACAGCAGAAATTATGGTGCATAAGCAGAAGCTGTCTTATGTTTGATTTCTGCGACAAAAATTCATGAAGTTTCGTTTGTCCTGTTACTGAGATTATAAAATAAATAATATTTAGAATTACAATTCAATGTTTAGCACAAAAGTTTAATATTAACACTTGAGTAGCAAACATTAAGAAAGTTTAACATTAGCAATTATAAATAAGAATTGTATGATGTTTGTACATTATTTTCATGAAATCTCAATAACATAACATTTCTACTTCAATTCTAGTGATCATTGAAATTCTAAGTAATAAACATTTAAGCCGAAAAGCTCATTCACATTTTCACAAAACCGATCACGCTAGTGCACTTTTGGAAACCAAGGAACCAAGCATATATTTACACATAACAATAACTATTGGAGCACCAAAGCCATTTTATGCACTTCCCAGGAAAGTTATCAGGAGAAAGAAGATTCTGAAAGTTAATCTTTACAACCATGTCTAAACATAATTGAAAGAAGTATTGAATGCATTTTTTAAAAAAAAGAATTTTGCTATTAAATGTTAATTCACCATGCACTTGAATTCCAGACAACCGCTAATCAACTGGCAATTTTGACAGTCTTGATTTACATATTATTTACCACAACTTCAAAATTTACAAGCTGTTTTCAGAAAAATGAACAGTTGAAAATTATGCAAATGAACAGGAGAAAGGAGTAACAATAATGATCATTATTTTTTGGTTACACCTTATCTATAAACCTCAACAAGAATATTTATGCAATTAAATAGTCATAATGCATTTCTTGCAATGGATTTTGCAAAACTGAACGCAAAAGAAAGAACTGAAGTCAAAGATGCAATGCAGACACTTACGGTATTTGTATTTAATTATGTCACTAGAAGTCTTCAAAGGAGCAGAATGACTTTGAGACTACAGACACTGTTTTGAATTGTACTTATCAAGTCTACAAACAGATCGGCATTCTTCATCTAACAAACTACAAGAAGTAATCTCAAAAGCTATAATCAAGAAAATTAATATTACGAGGTTTCGTTGAAATATCCATTTGAAACTAATTTTAAAACGGAAATGGAAAACAAATTTGCTAGCCTTATGAAGAATTCGCACGAACCCTTTCTTTCTTCATAACAATTACTTCTGAATATTATAAAATTAATACAGCACGTTCAAATCAGTTCTCTACTTCTTTTGCTTCTAGGCTAGGTGCTTTATGTTAATTGTTTTGGAGATGATCCAAAAAATGATTATTTTTTAACTTTCAGGAGGGCACCCCACCATATCACCCAAAGTTGATTAAGAATAAGTAAAGAATTCATAGACATTTAGAAGTGATTACCAAGACATTTTTTCATTGTAATTGGAAAAAGGGAATGTGAAATTCCAGCAAAAATATTTCTGTATCTTCATAAATTATTAATTAATGAGTTTATACATTTTCAGGAAATAAATTTTAAAGCCTGTATCTGTGAAAACGTAGCAATCTTTGTACAATAACACATTAATTGTCAAGTGTGAGTATTATAATAGTAAGCCTATTAGTCCAACGTTGCAAGTTTGATCCAATCACACTTGATGTATCGATCAATCGTGCACATTGCCTTTCAACGTATCACCTTTTTAAAAGAGCCTAATAAGGATACAGAGATTATAATCCTTGGGAGTCAGTTCCATTCATCAACAACTGTTTTCAAGGTAATTTTTCTGTAAAATTGATACTGAGCATTGTGACATGCAGTAGAATTTTTGTAATTTCCTATTATGACTCTTCATCATTTGTTTACACTTGATAAAAACATTTCAAATTTTTTTCTAATTGTTCATCAACTAACTTTCATTTCTAAGATCACTGGGGATGTGGGCAGTTCCATCTCTGAAAATTTCCCAATACACTTGTATTTCCAGCAAAGTATGAATTCGAGTATATACTCGTGCCAAAAGAGACTATTGTGTGAATATAAGTCTTGAACAAAGATACAAAAACACTACTAGATATTGTTCTCAAAGCTTTTCTTGAAACAGATATGGCATTGTTAGCTTTTGCTTCATTATCAAAGCAAAATAAAGAAAATGTTCATTGTTGTATCATCTCGATTTTTGGACCACTTGCATATTGCATCTACATCATGTTGTTATGTATATATTTAAAGGAATGGAGTAAACTTTGGTGACATTGGCATTTCACACAATTCAAGAATTCATACCAAGAAAATGTCACTAATATAGGATACAAAAGGAATTGGTCCTAGGAGATATCCATGTAGGACATAACTGATGATTTTCCTTGTGATTTCTGATTGCCGATTTCGACCTAAAAGATGTATGTAGCAATCTTTTGTGAAGCACTTTATCAAAAGTCTTTGGAAAATCAAGATCACAGCTTTTGGAATGAAACATTAAATGCTTTTGGGTATCACATTAGCTTCCACTGCAGATCTTGGAAGAAATGTCAGTAAAACTATCCACAAACAATCCATGTTGGCATGGTGTTTTTATTTTTTTAACAGAACCAAAGGTTTTAAAATTTGTTCCACTATTTTGCAAGTAAAACTAGTTAAACTAATTGGCCTATGGTGCAAAGGAATTAACTTGTTAAACTAATTAGTCTGTGGTTGGAAGGAACTAAGTTATCTTTGTTGAAGGTTAGGATGATATCTCCCTTTTTCCAATTGGTCAGAAACAGACTTGTATCCAGTTACGTATGGATAATTCAAATTAGGATTGAAGTAATTACAGCTGTACAATTCTTTGAGAAGAGCACAAAAAATCTTGTTTGGCCAGTTGGTGCATTAGTTATTTAGTGATGCAAGAACTTTGTACATCAAAAATTTGTAGATCGATGAATTTCTCCATTGGGAAATCCGCCTACAGAAGGTAGAGGGCCTTCTTTCCACATTCTACAAATCTCAGAATTCATCTGGAAAAATCTCAAACCAAAGCAATACCTCAAGAATCCGACATAATTTTTCCATTCTAATTTTTGGAGCAGCTGAGGAACGAAAGTTGTAGATGTTATTTGGTCACCAGAATCTATTTTCTCTGTGTTGTTTTTCCTGCTGTTTCATGATTTTTCTGCTTTAAAGCAACTACATTACCAAGTAATATATTTAAAAAGTGATTCAAAGCAAAATTAAGTAAAATGTTTTGAACAATGTTATGACCTAAAATAAGAATTTTTTATTTCTTTTCCAATTTTCAATCCTTACACAAGCACTTCAGCACAAAGTTTTTTTCAGTTTAATTTTTTTAAATTTAAGTTTTAATTGTTTAGTTTACATTTCCAGTAGCTTTTCCTATGAAATTTTTGAAAGAAAAATTATTTGCAATATAAAAATAGATTTTATTCATAATACTTTGACAAAAACACATTATTCCAAACACAAACAGAACTACTTTTATATTATTATAATATAACTATTTTTATAACATAATATAAATATCTAATTAACTATCTTAATATTTAATTAATCTTGAAATGAAATTATTCATATAATGGACATTATGTGACATGAAGTTATAATAAATAAAAATTGTAGCTAAATCAAGCAAAACCATGTAACAACAATGCTCCTAGTACAAGCAAAAAGGGTAATTGTGATTTTCTGAAAAGACCAGATATCCATTTGAGAGATCTTGAAACAGCAAATAAGCAACATGAGAAACGCATAACTCCAGCTTAAGACACCAAAAATATTAATGGTCATTTGGAACCCTGAAACCTGAAAAGTGCAAACTGATTATGGGCAAAGAATTTGAAGAGAAGGGAAAAAGAAAAAAAGTAGAATTGGATGAAGCCAGAAAACGTCTGTCACTGAAAAAAGTCGTGAGCGAGTTTCCTAGAGCGGAAATAAGCATGAAAGAAAGAATTAATACTCCTTATGAAGATCCCCAATTCAATCTTAAAGGGAAAAATGGTCATCCTTTGCTTTATAATATTAAGTCTGATTTTTTTAAAACGATTATTGCTAATTACAGTACGAAAGTCAATAATTGACAACGAACAGATGTTATCGATAGTGGTAAAATCGTCGATGAAGTGATCTAACTACAAAGAACGGAATTCGGATATTCTCGGAGTGTTCGGTTAATTTGAGATTATTTCGCAGAGTTGCCAGATTGGAGATTTTTCTCTCCCAAATGGGGATTTTCTCATTGTGGGAAAGAATGGGGAATATGAATGGATAAGAATGGGAAATGAATATGGGGAATAGACGGGAAAATGTTTGGGGATTTTGGGGGGAAATTATTTTAATGCGGAGTCGAAATAGAAATATTATTCTCTGAATTATTATGAATGAAAGAGAAACAACAACATTATTCTCCCTAATTTTTTATGTATCAAAAAAAGAAAAATAAATGCCAGGCACAGAGAAAGAAAAACACGAGAAAAACGAAAATAGCATATGGCGTGGTGAAAATCTTTCCACCATGGCATGAAGCTTCAAGCAGCTTAAAGGACGGTTATTGGTTGATTTAAATATTTGAATTTAAGGGGATAGCTCATCATGTCGTTGGTCCATAACTTGGAGAATATTTTTCATTTCAAAGATAGATAACTTTGTATCATTGGGGAAATTCCATTGTAGTGGTGGGAAAAGAGCTGGCAACACATCTGGCAACCCTGTTACCTCATCGGACGACTCTACGGAAGGTCACGTCTACGTGGTGTGTGTCAAATTATAACAATTAATTGCACGAAATGCCGCTGACAAGAAGCACTGCGTTTCAAAATTTGCAGCTGTGACAATTCGATATTTGGAAACGTTAGCATTCGTTTCAGGACCCACAAATGTGTTCTTCGCTAGCCAAGACGACAAACCTCGTGTGTCAACTGGCATTTCGACTGTTCAAAAGCGAAGTACCTTACTCATGCACTTAAGTAGCGTGTCACTGACGATGACTAGGTTGTAGGTCCATCATAAATTAATACCGTCCGTTCATGTTGGTATTAAAATCGGAGGTGATCTAAGACATCAAGATTCTGTGATTTCCTTTGACCCGACCTACTTCGCAATCAGATCTCCAAGACATTGTAGTCAACTGCCAAGACATTGGAAAAGTCTTTAATATTTCCGAATTCGAATGTGCGACGGAAGATTCAACGATGCAATTAAACCTGTATGCATATTCACAGTTGATGGAGGTCTCGACAAGAATCACGTTACATACAAGTGATCAAAATGGAAATACATAACTTTGTGAAGAATGAACTTCATTCTACGTAACTAGTTATGTCCCAGGACAAAGCACCTTCAACCGGGTGGAATAGCTCGGCGCTGTTGAGTAAGGAATTGAATGGTATTATTTTACCAACGGCCATTTTGGCAGTCATTTAAACAATGAAGCTGAAACTGTGAATGAAGAATTAGTACAAAATAGTCATGCTGGTTCTACGCTTGCTGAAATATGGTCACACCTCGTAATTGATAAATTTCGTTGTGAATGTGCTGAACCTGGCAATACTAATGTAAAAATTGATCTCCAAGAGAAAGACATGTGGCAAAATAATCATATCTGAAACAGTCAATATTTATTGCAATTGTCAAGAGCTTCATTTCGAAGATGCTTCTACGTCTTCAAAAGCACATTTTGCGAACGTATTTTATGAATGATCCCTATTACCAAATCGTTTTATTGACTCGGGAGTGGTATCTAGCAAAAGTACTTTTGAATATAATAATTAATTAAATATTTGATAATTAAATAATACTCTGTTTTTCAACATCAAATTTGAACTACATACGTGAACATTGGAAATGTTGGATCTAATAGCAATGAAGTGGTAATTATTGCTGCTCAGTTTACAGAGACAATGTGCTCACAATGTGGCATTTTAAAGGACCGTTACTCTTTCTTACTTCCATTCCCTGTTGTGTCATGAAAACACTGTTCTTTCCTTCCACCAGGATTCAGGCTTGAGCCAAATGCACATTTTTTATGTGACCAGTTGTTTCCCTGCATTTTCAAAAAAAAAAAATATAAATTTTGATTTCTGTGTTTTTCAGGTTTTTCCTTTTTCTACAGAAATATGTCACCCTGATAAATAGTTATTTAAAGAATTGGATTGTTTTCCAAAGTTTCTTGTTATGAATCCAGCAAAGACACAGTTTTTTAATTCACGGTTAGGTTCTTCAAATTAGTCTGAGACTAAGGTTTTATATTATGAGTCATTGGAGCATCAAAATTGGCAATACACAAATTTTGATAAAGTCAAAATTGGTTTCATAAAAAAAAATAAAAACACATAATTTGAAAGAGACAGCAAATTCTTATAAATCATCCCATATAGTGAACAATCAGTTACCCATGAGAGGTTGCATGGAAAGATTTGGACTTGTTTTATTATTACACACACAGTTTGGTTTTAGAATTTTGCATACACTTGTGATTTTCAGTACTTTTCTCCTATCCCTTGAAATTGCAATGCTCCTCAAAATTGTTCCATACTATCTATTCCTCACCCACAAAAAACATATGCATATCGCATTTACAA